ATCATTAAATTTTTAAAATTTATTTATTAATAAAATTTTTTATTATTTAAAAAATAAAAGTGTCCACAATAATATGGTTACCCTCTGTAGATATTAATATCTAACCTTGCACATGAGACCTACATTGTTAAAAAGTGAGCGAATATCGTTACTAACTCATTTTCAGGAATAACTAGAATCTTTGGTCTTCACGTATTGTCCTAATAGATTCCCATAAGGCATAGCACCTAGAGATTCAGCCAATAATAGTGTATACTGGTTTCTCAGACGTATTTAGTCTAGCCATCAACAAGTAAACAATGTCAGATTTGGTAATGATGGTTATGCTGATCTTTTGGAGGGGTAAACCGTCCATTCTTTTTCTAAAAAATTATGGAAGAGAAAAACTTGTCGAAGTCCACTTTTTGAAGAAGGTTTGTCACTTCTTATATAGTTTCTGAGAAAATGAAGTTGACTGACCAGAAGAGTGATAAAATGAATTACAGTATTTCCTAAGGAGAGAAAGGCCTAGAAAGGAAAAACTTCAGAAAGAAGGAAAAACCTAACTTTGACAGGAAAAGGGGAAAAAAAGGAAGGGGAAAGGACAGTGATTAAAAAAGTATATAGAGAAGAGTAGGGAAGAAAAAAGGAGGTTGGAGATAAAAGACTAATGGTCAAGAGAAGGAGTGGAAAGGGGAAAAACAAAAAAAGTAAACAACTCAAAAAGTTTCCTAAAAAAGAAATTTTCAAGTATAAGAAGGGAGAATAGAAAAGAGTTTTTTTTTTAATTAGTTAATTTTATTTAATTATTAATTATTAATTATAATTATATTTTTTTTAATAAAGGATTAGTTATTATTTAATTTATATATAATATTTCTACTGTTTAAAATTTTATTTTCATATTAATTAAATATAATATAAATATATAATATTAAATAAGCTTGTTATATAATATATATAAGAGATATTGTTTTTTTTTTAAAAATATATACTTAAATATACAAAAAAATAAAAAATATTATTATTTACTTTTAAATATATACTATATATATTAAACTTAAATTTTTTGATTTAAAAATTATTTTATATTTAAATTTTATAATAGTTGATTGTAAAAATTAAAATAAAATATTTTTTAACAATTAAAAAATATATATTTAAATATTTAAATTATTTATAAAGAATTTGTTTATTTATAAAAAAAAATAATTTGTTTAAAAAATATTGTTTACCATTGTATTTTTTTATATATGATATATAATTAAAAAAAATTCATTTGTAATAATAAAAAAAAAAGCTTTATCAAATTAAGAAAAGTAAAAAAAAATAATAAATCTAAAAAAATAATAAAAATAATTAATCTAAAAAAAAAAATAATAATTAATTTAAAAAAAAATAATGATAATAAAAAAAACAAGATAATAAAATTGAGAATAAAAAAAATTTTTTATTGCAAATAGTTTTTAATATAAGATTTTATTTGAACAATGGGATAATTAAAAATTAATTATTATTTTCGACAATATTTTAATATAAAAATATTACAATAATATTTTAAGTTATTGGCATTGATTACTTTTTTTTTTTTATCATGATAATAGATATAGATAATCATATTACAACTAATAATTTTACTTAATAGTATATGTATTTGTCATTATACTTTGTTTTGTTTTTTTAGTGGAAATCATATAACTTTATTTGATTTATCATCAAGATTATTTTATAAAGCTAAGCAAATACATTAAATTACTATTATAGAAAATAAAATTTATTTAAAAAATTTGGTTTTATACTTCTGATGTTTTTTAAATTACATTATTAATATAATAGTTTAACAAAACGAATAATAAAAATAAAATGATTTTTTTAATGCTGATTTTTTACTTTTATTAATAATTTATATAGTAATTAATATAGATTACATATTTGTGATCATTGCATTCTTTTATAAATTATTAGTGATAACAAAGGCTATTTTAAATTACAATAATAATTGTAATTAAGTATAAATTATTTTTTTAAGAATCTTTTTATTATCGATTGTCACGATATAAATTTTTATTATAGTATTTAAAGTTTTCTAACAAATTTGCATGAAAATAATATAGAGAATAATTTAGCAATTATGAATCTTATTTTTAGTTAAGTTATATTATTATGAGTAATCAAACGAAAAAAAACATACGGTATTTGTAATTTTATTTGTTAAAAATTTTTTTAACTGATATTATAATTAACAGTATATATTATATTTTAAAAAAAATTGGTTCATCCAATACTGTGCATTCATATGATCAAAATAATCGATTGTTATTGATAGATTATTTAAAAAAATAATTATAATTATTAAATATAAATTTGATTTTATTAAAACAAAAATTAAAATACAATTATATTTTTAAATTCGTCATTAATTGACTGCTTGATGCTTTCGATCGATTTCCAGTAGAAAAGAATGAGTAAGTTTATATTCTTCCTCAACTCAAGGTTCCTAGTCTCGAGCTACAAATCCACATTCACGATCTGCAGATGAGGAGGCATTCTTGGAATGTATCGAGGCTATCGAAGCCAATCTAGAAGACGTCAACATTATCAAAAAAGCTAGCGATAAAGAAAAAAAATGGTGGATTAATGGAAATTATAAGGCAATTGATGAGGAAAGGTAATAATCGTTGTGTATCATCCATTTCCTATTGACTATGCTAAGGCTTTGCTTATCTTATTAGACTGCCTCTGGGTCTTATGGAAAATGTAACGTACCGTGAATATGAAAAGAAAGTGAAATTGCAAACGCAGGTAGATTTTGGGGTTTGATGATAGCGTTGTGATAATATATGAGTTGCCAAACTGTGATCATGAGGTTGCTCACACTGCATTTTCTCGACAATTTCTATCAGCCTTCACCAATCTATAATTTCAAGAATGCTGGAGCGACAAGTACGTACCATTTAATGCTCATAATTTTGTATAGATATCATTATTCTTAACTTAATTCTGTTACATTCAGCTTGTCTTGGTTCGGGGCGAAGATCTGCCAGACAAGCAGACACTTCATCTGTGCCCAATCGCTTACCTATACCATCTCCTCATCCAAGTGATGTTCAGGTATGCACTTTTAATCATATTAGCAACGCATAACACAAAAACATAAACAAGTATCTTGATTGATAGGGTAATCCCTGGCCAACCGTAGTCTGTGAGGTTCCCGATCCAGAGGTCTTCCGCATATACTCCAGAAAATTAATTCGTTTTGGTTAGCCTCAAACCGGTCAGAAGATGTGATAGTACTCAATTTGTGGTCATGGAATCGTAGGAAGGATACGAATGGATGTCCATTGCGTCGCTTAACAGTTCAGTAATGTTTGTAAATTCATTTCTATTCATTCGTCTAATGACAATATTCTCGATAGTGCTGTAAATTTTGTCGTCGTGCAAGCCTTCAAGCGGGTCAAGCACGGGGAAGGTTCCAGCCAATTCAAACGGGAGGAATCATGCTGATCAACCCATCTTGTTTAACCCACAAAATCGCAGTACGAATTTGGGACCATTGATAGACATCAAAGTTCATATACGTAATGGTTGCTCAGCCCAGGGAATTCTTACCGAGACAATTGCGCCAGAATGTGTTTATCAAGGCTGTACTCCACCATATCCACCATATCCGTTTGCAGGGAATGTATTCATTGATTTATTTTGTATCCAGCAAGCAATTTTTCGTTATCAAGGGCGATAAATTCTTGGTAGTATTGTAATAAGTAGCAAAGTAATCATTTATCAATTTCTAACCAAGAATAATATATTTATATTATATTTTCCGGTCAATTAAATCATTTCAATAATTTAGATTTTAATATACAGTAATTTCATTATTCAATTTTATTTTTATTTTTTTTTAGAAATATACATTTTAAAGAAATTATAATATTTTATGCTATAATCATAGAATTATTTATGGTATAATGTTTTTAAATTTAAATAAATTTACATTATTACGTAACATTATAAATCGTGCAATATCTAATACATAAATCAATGTGATATACTGTATACTGTATAATATGGTCTGTTTGACTATTTTATTATTTAATATTCAATTATTCTTTATTTTTTAAAATGAAATTCAAAATAATAAACATATAACGATATTTCAACGATACTGTAGATTTTTTAAATTAAAAGTGAGAATTAATGTATACAGTATTCTGTATATACGTATTTATTTATTATGACTAAGATAAAAATGGTTACAATGAGGAGGTTATCATGTGCTTTAGTTACGAACTGGACTCGACAACGGTCCCCGTATCCCTAGTTATTAATTCATAATTAAACGAGACAATTAAAGTTAAATTTTTTACAATGTTTAAAAAAGATATATTGTTTAAAATTTTTGGTTGTGTATAAACACTAATAGGAAAATGACGTGTTGAATGTGGTTGTGTATTTGGCGTCGAGAAAAATCGATGTCTATTAGACCCATAAGTGTCACATGATCGACAATACCGCCCTTGGCTACGATTACGCGACGTGTGCGTAATTAAAAAATTAATCCGTAAAATATTATAAATAAAAGCCTCGTGGAAAATTTAGATTTCTAAGGTTCTGTAGTATGAAGAAATGTGGAGTTATATGGAGCACCGGTTAAGTTAATAAACACATTTTTTTAGGTTAGCCTTGAGTGGTAAATATTATTTAAAATTTTTGGCGCAACAGAGTTACACAAAATTAGCACATTATTATTGGAGACTAATTCATCCGGTAAAGTTTAGTCGCTAAAAAACTAAAAAAAATACATTGATGTATTTTCTAAAAAAACAATTAAATCTTTTACGTTATGTATAAGCAAGTAATTATAAAAATATTAGTTTCTGCGAAATAAAAAAATTATTCGCCAGTTTTAGAATCCCCAGTGTGATATTCACGTGACAAACGGATTCCCTGCTTAAATAATTAAATGGTGAATTATGAAACTAAAAATCTCTTTAAATTTATTCTTCATTTTCTTCCTATTTTTTTTTGTTCTAAAATCTTCTTTATGTTCAAAATGACCCATTATATTAAATGTAAATAAATGCACAAGTAAAAATCGAAATAAAATTAAGGAATCAGGTCGACAAATGCCTCGACCAAATCGTATAGGTTTACATGAAACTACGTATACCTGTTAATAAAGTATCGCGTGATATTTTTTAAAAAAATTATTTTTCAATACAAATAATGTTAAATTTGATATAATAATATTTACAATAATTTCATTAATATAATTATATAAATTTTTTAATAGAAAATTAAAAACTTTAAATACAGAAAATTTAAAATATATTTGATAAAAAAAAATTTTTATTCATTTAAAATTTTGCTTTTTAAAAATATATTGGTAAAAAAAGAGATCAGTTTTTTGAAAAAAATTATTAATCATTTAAATTCTTATTAAATAAATATAAAAACTAATTTTATTAAAATATTTAATTTATAATATTAATTGTTTTTATCAAAATTTTTTTTTATCTAATATGCATATTAATTATTAATATAAAAATTTTTTTTTGAATAGCTTAAACTCAATTTTAAAAATTTAATACTTATTAAAACTTTTATTTTATATTTATTAATTAATTAATTAATTAATTATTATTATTATTATTATTATTAATTTCTTTTAAATTCATTTTCTTATTTTCTTATACCGTATAGATAATTTTTACAAAAAATTTTTTTAAATTAACATTCTAAAGTGAAATGGCCAAGTAATATTAACTAATACGTAGTCATTAATTTCATATTCATTTCATAAGCGAAACAACATCACTGTATAAATAAATATCTTAGGTGATACAAGTTACTCATAAAATTCAATTGTATTTGTACAACAAACTGAGGAATACAAATATATTAGGTCATACAGAATGCGCTTTTTGAAATTTCAAATGTCTCAATCAAAAAGTATACCATCGAAAAATAGTTGGATTGAAGGACTCGAAAATTCTATAAATGAACTGACTTTGAAGAAGTTTGAGTATAGCGACTTCGAGAATATTGAAATTATAGGAAATGGCAGCTTTGGAAAAGTATATAAAACCTATTCGAAGAGTATTAGAAAAATAGTAGCAATTAAAAAAGTTAAAATTTTTGACGAAGCCTCGGCAAATATATTTCTTAACGAGGTAAAGTATTTTTATTTTATTATATGTGGTTACAACTACGGCACATAAAAATAATGCCATATATAAAATATTCTGCGTAGCTTACGTTGCACCAAGATGTTGACTTTGATGACAACATTTTACGACTTTATGGAATTTCTAAGAAAGGTAACGTTCGCATGATGATTTTAAACGTGTACGCTTATACAAGAAACTATGGCTAATATAGACAATTATGCAGACCCGCAAAAACCAAACTATCTTATGGTTATTGAATATGCCGATGGAACTTTGCGGCAACACCTTAAAGAAAATTTTAAATTATTAAACTGGAATGAC